TGCAGCTTTAAAAAACTTCCCAAGGATGCTATTTTCAGGATAAGCTGTTTTATTGAAAAAATCCAGAGAATAGAAATATTTAAATATGTCAAAATAAACAAGCTATATTTCATTGCTTTCAGTCTATTATTAAACAAACTTTTTTTTGGTTTTGTGGTAAGGAATGTAGGGCGATACATATATCATGTCTGTACCCTAGTAGTTTTGCAACTGTAAGGACTCATCTATGCCAGGCATTTTAACACACCAGGCAATTTTTATAGTCCAATCACATAGTTTTGATCACATTACAGTGTGGTTTGTTCTTGCCTGTGTAGGCATGAATGTATTATGGAAGTGTGTGACAGCCTTAGGGAAGGAGTCATTTCCATCTCTGTTTGTTAAAAGTAAACTGGATGTAAAACACTTCTTTTCTGATTTGGTAGGTTTTTTTTAACTCAGCTAGCCTGGGTGTAAATAACTATATGGCAGGGAAGACTCAATGCTGCAGGATTGTAACCCATTCTGATTACAATCTTATAGTACGCTTTGACCCTGTCTGGACGGGTGAGACCAAACCAAGGTCTAACATGCCTGGCAGGCTATAACGGTACTACATGATGGTTTAATAGGATTACAGCTATAGCACTGATGAGTCTTCAGTACGTCCTAAATTGAAGAACAACACATGTGAGGGCTAAATTCCACATGTGTACTAATAATATAGTACACAGAAGTACACAGAAAGTTACTCTGGCATAATTTTCATCTAAACTTTCTTCTTAAAGTTTCAAAGGATGCACAGAACAACATTTCAGTGCAGGAAAGGCATTAATAAGTATTGTAGTGGAGACCAAAAACTTACCCAGCTACAGTCTGACAGTTTAGATACATTCCTCTCTCGTGTACACTGCAAGACTGAGTGTGGATTTTAGCCATATCAAGGGACATCCCTGTGGGAATTGGGTCCCCTGCTGTGGTTGATTTTGTAGGGCTGTCATCAATGCGGCGGACTTACAGATACAGCCCAGTGTGTCTCGGGCTCGGAGAATCTTCTTTGTGATTGGTGGAGCCCATCCACTAATCGGGTAACTGTTGGGAAAGTCTTTGCCCCACCCTTGCTTGGGGCAAGAGAAAAAAAAAAGAAAAACCTCGGACCTGGTTCGAGACTGCACTCTGCCCATCTGGTCGAACTTCGGGGGGCAGAGCCTCTGAAGAGAATAAAGGAAGCTGTGCGCCCAGCATGTGGCAGACACGTTGAGGGATGCAGAGAACAGGGCTAGAAGAGCTGAGGAGAGCTACTCAGCAGGGCAAAGCAATAGCCTGGAAGAGCCCCTGAAGACTTCTGTCGGCAGCGGGAAGTGGCGGAAAGCGGCTGATGGCTCCAGTGGCCAGGCTCTCAGTGCACAGTACGGCGCACAGTGTCCAGACCCTGGGAGCTGCGTGGGGTGGCCCGGGTCTGCAGCCCCTGGTGTGCGGCCAGAGGCATGGTGCATAGGCCGGTGCACAGAGCAGGACCCTGGCAGCCACTCATGGCAGCTCAGGTTCCCAACCCCCAGCACGAGGCCAGGAACTTGGTGCAGGAGGTGCTACACAGAGGGTGAGAGACCCTGAGAGCCACTTGAAGCAGCTTGGGTCTACAGCTGCTGGCACTGGGCCAGCAGCTCAGTGCAGACGATGTTGCACAAAAAGTCCAGGAGTGAATCGAGCCTTGGCGCTGCATGAGGTGGCCCGGGCCTCCAACCCATAGCAAAAGGTAGAGCCCAGGGAGCCAGATGGTGCTTGGGCTACTGAGCCAGTGGGCAGGGCAGAGTCAGAGGCCCCAGAAGCCCTGCATAGTGGAGCCCTGTTCTGGGGAGCAGTGACCCCGAAGCCCACCACAGGCAAGAGAGCAGCCTGGCGCAGAGTACAAGGGCCACCCTCCAGGCCTGGGAGCCGTGAGTTGCCAGGGAGAAGGACTCCCACAGGGGAGGGGGAGTCTCCCCTTGGTTAGTTAAGGGCTTCTGAAAGTGGAGGTCCCACTGGGAGGGCCCCCTTGAAGTTACCGGCTTCCTTGAAGGGTTTGGGAAAAGGCTCAAGGGACATTGAGGCTTTTCCTTGAGATTAAGTTTATTTTTGAGGTTCTTGCACTTTATATTGTGTGATGTCACACCTTATATTTTGTAAACTCTCATAGTTGTACATTAGTAGATTAGTAGAGTCTTGAATTTATAACTTTGACTAGGGCTCTGCTGGGACCCCTTTTGCTATTACTCACCTGTTGTTTACCTGTATTTATTTGTGGCTTATACTTACCTGTAGTTTATCTGTTGGTTACCTATTTTTACTTGGGTTTTGCCTGTTTCAGATCAGATACTTACCTGTGCTGAGTTTGAGGCCCGTGGGTGGTGGAATAATTTTCCTAATCGCTCATTATAGAGTATAGAATTATATGTAAATTGTATATTGTATGTATATTTATTAATATTACTTTCTTTTCTGGATTTTGTATGTGTGTATCTATAGCTATATATATATATAAATACATGTGTATATAATTAAGATACTCTGTGCCCTGGCCTGACACTATAGGGGACAGAGGTCACTGACAACTGCAGTCCCTCTCACAGCACTCCAGCCTAGCCACCTATCCCTCCTAATTGAAGGGGGAGTACATAGATACCCGTGTACAATAACAACAAGTCACACAAGTTTGAACATGACTGTTGTTGTTAGCTTGGTTCTGTAGCCAGGTTTCCTTCAAGTGAGAGGAAATTTGTCCAAAGACCCATCTACAGTACAAAAGTAAGTTAACTCAGCTGCATCTGTTGTTACTGTAACAGAGTCCCGGCTGCAACTCTGTTACTAAGAGGGGTTGCCAGCTGAAGATGATTAACACGGCCTGCTAAAGATGATTAACACAGCCGGGAAGAGAGACATCATGCCCTCTGGAGCCAATGAGGCTCAGGAAGGAGGGATAAGAAGTGGAGAAGACCTGCCAGAAGGTGCCTTCAGGCACTTGCAGATTGAGAGACACGGGTGAGGAGCTCTGCGGCGAGAGGCCCCAAAGAAGACCCCGAGGCAGGGGCTCACGCTCACAGGCGGTGGCGGACTTACAGGATAGACATGACCCTTGGCACCATGTACCTGAAAACCCCAGCTTCGGCAGTGAGTTGCAGGGGACGGAGCAGCGGCACGGTGAGAAGCCGTGGCTTCCTGCCAAGACGCGGCGTGGGTATGCAGGAGGAAAAGAGGGCGGGGGAACCCTTGACCCAGCCCTGAAGAGATAGGACCCTGACCCCTCACCAGAGGATGAGAGGGTGGGGTGGTGGGGGGGGCAAAGAGAAAAGACTGAGGAGAAGCCTTGCTCTCCACGCTGGCACAAGCGCGGCTGGGAAATCCTGGGGCCGTAGTTAATCAGCTGCTAATGAGGTAATTAGCGGCTGATCACCAGGACGACACACAAGACTTACTGCCCGAGTAAGTTGGCGGGGATTGGCTCACTCACCAAGGTGGGTCTCTGCTGAGGGCCCCATGAGCTGCCTCCTCTGTAGGGCGTTCCTGAAAAGAGTAACCCCGACTAAAAGTAATAAAGCACCATTACCATATACCAGTTCAGCGTAGTCCTTCCTGTGGGTACCTGCACGGTTAACACCTGCTCCCCTCCCATTTGTTTGAAGATCAAAAGTTGTGGCAGGCGAGAATCCTGGGGACAGGGAGGGGGTACGCAACGCAGACACGCTGACAGTTACCAAACTGTGTTCTCATGCAGTTTGGATCTGCCTACAGGGACAGCATTGTTTTATGTGTTCATGTCTGTGTAGTTTAAACAGAGCAAGAGAACAGTGCTAAGGATTTCCATCTTAAGTTTTCTGTAACAAAATGCAAAAAAAAGTTTTGTTTCCACTGGCAGTGAAAATGAGCTACCAACTGCTAACAATAACTGTTTAAATATAAATGTAACATGGGTTTCTGCTTTCATTGCAATCCTGGCCTCAGAGGGATAGCTACCTAAGGGATGCATATTCAAAGGCATACAATCTCAAGGAGGGGTTAGTAAGTACAGTTTTTTTGCGAAATTTCCATGTACCATGGTAACAGTTACACTCTATGGGGTGCATTACAGAAGACTGCTAGCACAGTTTAAACTACTTGTAGCTGACGTGTGACACAAGTGCCACAAGTGGCATGAACATCCTCTGTGTGTGGCACACAGCACATCAGGGAAGGTGGCACAGCAGCAGATAGGGCAGGAAGCAGAAGGGAGACCAGGAGATCAGGCAGGGAGCACAGAGAACAGAAAGCGGATCTGGATATCAGGCAGGGAGCAGCATACGGAGGTAGAAAGCAGAGCAGCAGATCCAACAGAAGAAGGGGATCAGAGTGGTATTTGGAGAATTTGTGGCATGCCTGCCAAAAACTTGGCCCTATTGGTTTAAGCAGAGATCTAGCTTGAAAAGAGTGATTCCTGAGCTCTGCACTAAACTGGAACTTCAGAATACCTGGAATATGATGTAGGTTCAGTTCCATCTACACAGCAAAGCCAAACTATGTTATGATGTTTTCCTACCATAATTACAATATAAATGATGTTTGAGAGATGCTGCAAAAAGCAGCAATTTTTAGAAAACTGGTTATTTCCTGAACAACAGCCTTTGGTGCTATAAAAAGTAGCAGACTTTCAGGTGGGGAAAAAATGTACATACCTTTTGCATTAAAGTCATGGAGTAATAATATGGACATTTATTCTGAAAGATAGTAAGCACCTGTTCTGTCCACTGAGCTCTAGGTAACTACTGAAGATTTCTTTCTGTCTGTTACCACGGTAAACTTCTTGCACTTCAAGGCCATACTCCATTTTTTTCCTTTTAAAAATAGGTACTTGCCCTAGCTCTTCTAACAGCTCTAATCAACAGTATTAAAGTGTGATAAATAACAGCAATTATTCATTTTCCTTTCCATCTCATTTGTATAGCACTGAGCTGTGGACAGCGTCTCCCTTGAAATCACCGTTGAAGTTTGTAGTAGTTGACTTCATTAGCATTCCTGGGTCTTCTACACTTTCAGTTCAGTTGCCAACCAGAGATAAGGAAGGGTAGGCTCTAACAATGATGCTTTTTAGTCAAGCTGCTGTAATGAGCAGGCCCAGGTGTTTATCTTGCTGCTGGTTCAGGGAGGTTAACGGGGTCTGCACTATTTTGTTATGTTAAGCTGAACAGAACTAGCCCGAAAAGTTAAAAGAGCCTCACTAGAAACAGCACACTTGATCAGTTGTGGAACAGAAAGCAGCTTTAAGGTTTTTCTCATGTGTATTTTCTTCAAAGAATCTACAGCCTATGAATGTAGTTTGAGCCTCTTGAACCTGATAACACCGACCCTTTCTTAATGAATTCCGATTATAGTCTTATATCACACTCATCACCATGTCAATTAGGTAATAACTAAGCATTCTTGCTTTTATCCATGTCCTGATTACAAAGAGATGGCATTGTTTCCTTCTGTAAATCCTATTGGCTGGCCTGACAGGCCACCTCAGAACATGTGGAAGTTTAAGTGGCACCTTTTATCTCCTTGATTTTCTGCAGCTCGGCAAATCCTGCTAGGAAATAATGCAAGACCAAAGGGTATATACTTTGTTATAAAATGAATGTCTGCATGTCAGTATTATTTATAGAGAGAGTTAATAATTGACTTGGACTTTGTCTGCAAATATATGTTTTAATGCTTCCTCTTGTTCATTTACTTGTCCGAGTTGACAACACTGGATGTTTCCCTCACCAAGTTACTTATATGTAGTTACTTACATAAGAGCCCCAACAAGGAAAATTAGTTATTGGATATACTTATAAGAACCTTTAATCTTGAGACTCAAATTTTCATCATTTCTCCTGCACATGGTCGAGGAGGCCTTATCAGTTTACATGCAACTTATACACATTTGTCCTTGGAAAGGTAATTAAATATTTTTCCTTTCTGAAATGAATAGCATCCTTTTGGTTAAAGATATTTAACTGATAGCCTGCAAAAATAAGTTTTTCAAAGCAATTTTTAGATCACTGTAATACTGAATAACAAACTTGAGGAGGCTTAAGGACTTTGCATGGAATCTCTGACTAGCCAATTTTCAGCTTGGTTGTGAAAATTTGGCAAGAGTCACGGGCTATAGACTTCAGCCTTCAAGTACAGCAGAATCCTGGTTGTTATGTTCATGAGGGAGGAAGGAAGACCATTTTCTCCCAAGATGATTTACACCTTTAAAAATAACCAATTCTGCTGAGCTTTGCTGATTTAATATTATCTAGCTGCTCTGGCTGCCAATCCCCCATGTCTTTTGAACATCTGTGGCTATTTTTGACTAACAAAGGGCACACAAGTTGAAGGGCTGTAATGTTATGTCTCTGTTACCAGGGTGTTTCAGAATAGCGACTGTTCTTGTTTTAATCACGGTTAAAGAAGAGTAGGGGAGCTAAAGGCTGACATAAATACTGTAGCCTTTTCTGGTTATGACTAAAGACTTGTAGGACAATAGGTTGCTGTGATTTGGTCTATTATAAAATAATATAATTATTTTTGGTCTGTTATTATAAAATCTGGTAAGTATTAGGGACTATGTTGTAAGAAAAAGGAGTTCTAGTAACCTCAGAGCTAAAAGGGCCCTCTTATCAAGTTTTATGTAAAACGGTTTGAGTAAAAAGATGTGTTACCCATCCCCAGGAGTTATTCCCAGATTACATATAATTTATATGCACTTGTCTTTGGAAAAGTAATTAAATATTTTGCATACTATTAACAATATTCTGGCCAGCCTTAGAAAAGATGAATACATTTTATTGTGCACACATCAAGCAGTTTGAGAGTGCTGCATAGTGACAGAATATCTGCAAAGAAACCCTGACCAAACAAGGAAGGTGTAATTTTTTTAAAACTTAATGCAACATCATTTGTAGAAAATACTTATACAGCAGACTAGCAAAACAGTATGTTAAAAACAGCAGTGAAAATATATAAAATGAGACATTCTTTCCATTAGCAGTTTGTTTAAAAGCCAAGGGAAAGGAATTATTCCCCATCAGCTTCAGAAAGAGATGTTTGATACAGCAGAGAACAAGTCAGGGAACTGAGCCTGCGTTACCCAAAACAACTAACTCCTTTAGCAGAGAGAGTGCCTTCCATCACCAGAAAAGACCATCTGGAAGAATCCTGGCTCCTTGCCAACACAAACCTTTAACAATTGCTTGTCCTGCACTTTAAGTAATAATGTTCATAATGGCACAACCTGGAGGGTTGGCAGAGGTCCTACTGGAGGAGCAACATATTCCTCTTCCCTCAGTAAACGCAGCAGGATATTCTTTTTATTTTTTGGCCAGTTATAAACGTGAGTGTTCTGAAGCCAGGTAGGCACGTGTTCCTGCGAATGAGGAAAAAAAACCACAAAACCACATAAAATCCAGTGATTCTATATCACAGTCTTGCAGAAACTTCTCTAGCTTTGCTGTTTGACAAACTGAAGCAGAGCCTATTATAGACATTTTTCACAATGATGATAATACTGTATTTTAATTTTTAAAATTAGGTTTCAGTTTTAGTTGTCTCAGTTTATGCCAAAATCCTGCATATCTCATTAAAAAAACCCCCAAGTATATAGCATTGCTATCTCTGTGCATAATGCTGTTAGCCATCCTTAATATTATAATGTACTTGATATTAATAACTATTTTGAAGGTATCTATAAAGTCACAAGTGGTAATATATGACTGGAGAATACCAAATGGAATGCCTATGTTGAAGAAAGGGAGGAAGTTGCTAAGCTATTGCATATCCACTGGCCTGATTTCAACACTGTGTAAGACTTCAGAACAAATTTGGAAGAAAAAAGTAATTAAAAACATAGAGAAAAATGTAATAAAATGTAATACGAGTTTACCAACTGCACTGCGTCAGAGTAACCTTGATCTTTCTTTGATAAAATAGCCAATTTTCTGCACAGAGGAAATGAAATAGGCCTCATCTATCTGGGCTTCAGTACAGCATTTGATACAGATGAGACTTTTGGTTAAACTGGAGAAAATGGGGATTAATGCAAGGATTGTAAGGTGGGCAAGGAACTAGCTAATAGGGATAATTAATATGCACACATGGATAAGGCTAGAGGAAGGTTACATGTATCCTCAAGGACTGGCTTTAGAACTGATTCTATTTAATGTTTTCATTACTGAATATGGTAGAAAAAGTAAGTATGCTGATGATATTTGTTGATGACACTAAGTTATGCAGCACTGCTGGTACATAGGAAAATCTAAATCGGGGGCGGGCAATGATTTTGGGCAGAGGGCTGCTTACTGAGTTTTGGCAAGCCATTGAAAGTTGCATGACAGGCAGCCCAGGGCAGATAAATATACATTTTCTAAATTTTTTAGAGGCCCCATGGGCCGGATAGAATGGTCTGGCGGGCCGCATCCAGCCCCCAGGCTGCATTTTGCCCACCCCTGATCTAAATATTATGTAAGAAGAATTGAATGACTTCAAGGACTAATGTAATAGGAATGGTGTAATAGTACTAAGTTCTAGGTCATGCATTTAGGTGATAAAAGTTTCTCCTGCAAACTGGGGCTTATCAACAACAGAGTAAGAAAAAGACTTGAGTGGATCAGTTAATCGTAAGATTCCTATGAGCCAACACTGTGACCTGGCCGTGAGAGAGGCAAATGCTACCATACCATTGCAAGGTAATTCTAGCAGAAGTAGGGCATTATTAACACTACTGTAGGAGACATTAATGCTGCTGGTAAGTGGGGCGCTTTAACTAAAGCTCATTGAACAAACTTTAGTTAAAGCACCCCCACTGCCATTTTTCAGCGTGGGGACACTGATACACTGGAGGCTGCTGGAGTGCAGTAATTACCATGTTCCAGCAGACACACTGTAATTACAGTGCATTGGAGTAGCCTTGCTGCTCGTATATAGACAGACAAGGTTTCTAACCATCAGAGAAGTGAGGTTTGGGGATAGACTCCCAATAGGAATAGTGGCAATAAAAAGTTCAGCTTTAAGACTGGGTGGTGTTGAGGTGATATTGTCATGACTGTCCAGGAGATATGCAAGAGGCAAGAATTCTAGAGGGTGATATCTTTTATTGGACCAACTTTATGTTTGGTTTGATATAGACAAGCTTGCAGGTATAAAAGCAGGTAATTGAAGACTGAACATTTCCCAGGATCCAGAAAGAAAGATGGAAATTATTCAGAACAGATTTCATGAAGAATAGGAGAATTACACTGCCTTTGATTAATACTGTTTCTGATTTTCATTGTTTATTGTCTTTGCATTACAACTTTGTTTACCCTCTAATTTTTCAATGTAGGACACACAGAAAATTTATTATTCTACTGCCTTTGGTTAATTCGTAGGGGTAAAAACCGTGCTGTCTCCTAAGTGTACTAAAACAATGGTGGCCTCTCAAAATCTGTGTACAATATAACACAAAGTCAATGGCTCTTATCTCATAAGCATACTTGGAAAGTTATGTTTGTTATTATTTTTAAAGCATATAAATATCTGTTTTTTCTGTTCTTATTTATAGACTGGGATGAGAAATAATACATAAATAAACTGTCTCTTTTGATCTTCTAATAGGTGCAGTACTCAAACTGCACATATTAGACAATTGAATACGTGCAGTACTCAAAATAAGGGCAAAATCCAGATTTACTTCTTAGGTGGCTCCAATTTAAGAACTGCAGTGCCTAGAAATTAGGTGCCTGATACCAGGAGGGTGAAAAAGATTTAGGTCTCAGTAGCTGCACCTCATGTAGACATGGCCAGCAAGGCTTCCAATGCAGTCAATAAGGAGAACAAATGGCCTTTTAAGGGTAATTTTGATTTTGCACATCATGGCAAATTGAACAATTTTTGGGATCAGTGACATCCCAATTATACAACTGCCAGTGCAGGGAGCCTGATATCCCCAATGCTGCACTTCCCGCAGTGCCCTTTCAACTTAGTGGCACATGTGGAGCCCAAGATTCTGCACTCTCTGCACACCAGCAAGTTGAAATCCATGAGCCATGCAGCACTGTGTGGGCTGTCCAGTGCTGATGGGCTCTCCCTGCCTGAGAGGTTTAAACCCACATGTGGGGCAACTGTACATGGTCTGACTGGCATGTGGGTTGAAAAATACTGGGCGGGGGGAGCCAGCAGACTCCCCTATCCAGAAGGTTAACACTTACCTGGGCTGCCTAGCATGCTGGTTTAAACTTCCTGGGTGGGAGAAGTCCATTTTGTCCCCTGCCTAACACCTGTCAGTCAACTTGCCAGGCACCTGATGCAGGGCTGCACCATGCATGGATTTAAATTTCCCAGGCTGGAGGAACCCATCAGTTACTTCCCACCCAACATTAGTTGAAGTTCCCACCTTTGAGCATTAGTGAAGCTGAGCACTGCAGCCTAATATGGAGCAACACTGCCCTGCTTTAACGTGCCACATGTTCAAATTAATGCCCAATACAAACCAGATACAAAGATGTTCCATATTAACTGTGGAACATCTTTGTGGCTGCATACCATCTTATCATACTATAAATTGCTTGCATTTAAATTGCAACCACCTTTGCAGGTTGCAAGCCCTGCCCCTATTGTGAGAATACAAAATGCAGCATAGATGCAAAATAGATCCACCATAAATTGCAACCACCTTTTATATAATTGCCTACTAGTTTTCCAGGGTAGACCTGGGTTCTAGGTCTTCCTCAGCTCAGGGGGGTTCAAAACTACATCTTTTACCTGAGGAGACTGCCCTAAGAATCAGGATGTAGAATATTATGGGGGGACATCTTACTGAAGATGGGACAAAGGGCAAAACAAAATGCAAGATTCATAATATCAAACAGAGAGCAAGAGCGAAAAATGATTCAGTAGCCCAATAAGGAGGGCAGCCTTCTGGGGCAAGAATCTGGTTCTGGTCTCTGCCACCAGGCCTGCTTATGAATTTAACATTGGAAGATCATTGGATAAAACCCAAAAATAATATGGGGAGCGGGGACTATGACCCAGGACTTTCTAAACCAGGGTCCCCAACCTCAGGTCACAACCCAAATTAGTGTCACGGGGGCAATGCTGGAGGCGCTGCACACAAAAGACAAGCCATCAAGCCATGCCGCATGCTGGGAGCTCCCCCCACCCCCCAGGCCGCCGCCGCTGTTGCACTCTGCTCCCAGCAGCAGATCGCGACAAAAAAAGGTTGGGAACCGCTGTTCCAAACCTTAACTCCTGCATCTTTCTGAGGTCAGCTCTATTTCTAGTGGCAACTTTAGCAATACTTAATTACATGAACATCATTATAAAGATAAAATGGACAAAACGTAAATAAGCTGGGTTGAAGAGTGCAAGTATTTCTGTCTCTTACATGATTCCATTTTGCATCTATGCTGCATTTTGTATTCTCACAATAGAGGCAGGGTTTACACATATTGGTACAACAATTCCTATAATTGCCTATGTCCCCCTCACTACTCCAATCTCTCCAGATCACTTCACAGTTTGGTGGTCTCTTTGAGTGTTGTTGACACCTCCTTCCATTCATAGTGATAGTAGTTAATTGGATGGAGTTTGATCTTGTGCCAGAGAAACATACAATAAAAAAGACAATTACAAATGTTGTTAAGATGGACCTAACTTTGCAGTTTAGTTGAAAAAGGCACCTCTTGAAAATGTAAGTATGTCCTGCGCTAGACTATGGCTACCAAGAAGTGTCATTGCTTGAAGACATGCTTTACTGCTGTGACAGGGACAGCTTAACAGACCAGCTTGTAAGATTACTAAAGAACCACTGCCAAAGATTAAGTAGTCTTTTAGTTCACAAATTTTAGACACAATTTGTGTGATTTTGTTATTTTTATATCTGTCAGTAGGCCTAAAAAGGCTTGTTGTATCCATCTTCCCTATTCCTTTCAGATTCCTGTACCACTCTTCATTTCCTCTACTGTAAAATCTTGTTTGTACTGAAGTTGTGCTTGCACATTACTTATCAAGAACTCGAAAAAGTTAGGGCTAGTCCTGCCCAGTGGCCTCTGGTAGTGCATTTTTTTTAGAAAACGCAAAGCAATATGTTGCTTTTGATCTGCCCAGAGTTCCCACTGATGTAAATATAGCCTTAACATTTAAAAATTCTGACATCCGAATGCCTTTCTTTCCGTCTGAGGAGAAAAACCACTTTGGAAGCTGCATGACCACAGATGCATCACAAGCAGGTGATCCTCCCCCTCTATGCAACACTGGTCAGGCTGCAGTTGGAGTACTGTGTCCAGTTCTGGGCGCTGCACTTTAGGAGGGATGTGGTCAGCATTGAGAGGGTCCAGAGGAGGGCCATTCATATGATCCGGGGACAGCAGGGCAGACCGTACGAGGAGAGGCTATGGGACCTGAACCTGTTCAGCCTTCAGAACAGAAGGCTGAGAGGGAGCCTGGTAGCTGTCTATAAACTTACTAGGGGGGACCAGCAGGGAATGGGAGAGACCCTGTTCCCCGAGCACCTCCTGGAGTAACAAGGAATAATGGCCATAAGTTGTTTGAGAGTAGGTTCAGGCTGGACATTAGAAGGCACTACTTCAGTCAGGGCGGCTAGGATCTGGAACCAACTTCCAAGGGAAGTGGTGCTGGCTCCTACTTTGGGGGTCTTTAAGAAGAGGCTTGATAATTACCTAGCTGGGGTCATATGAGCCCAGTATTCTCTCCTGCCCAGGGCAGGGGGTCGGACTTGAAGATCTACTTAGGTCCCTTCCGACCCTACTTCTATGAATCTATGATAGAATAGTAAAATATGGTATGTTGAAAGATTCTAAATGCTTTACAATCCAAGTAAAACATTTTCAAATGTCCAGATTTAAAGTTATATGCCTAAATTAAGATTAAATAGATGCCTGGATATATTGTTTTTGTATGAGTATGGTTGTAGCTGTCATGATCCAGGGATTATGTAAGAAGCAAGATTTGTTTGTTTGAATCTTTTACTGGACCAGCTGGATAGTTGGGAGAGATGTTCAAAGGTGATGGGCACCTACAGCTCTCCTGAAGTGCACAAGGCCTCGTATATTTGCTTATAAATTGATTTAGGTGCCAAACTGTTATTCTGAAACCTTCTGTCCAGTATTGAAATGCTGCAACCATTTGGGTGTAATGCAGCAGCAGTGAACAATGACATTTTAAGATAAAATTGTAGGAGAAAAAGTAACAACAAATATTGTATCCACTTGAATTTTGGGGGACAATACAGTTGTGAAACTTGAATTTAGAAAGAACAATATATTTAATACTTCTACTGTTACAAATATTCTCTGTGTTTTATAAAGATGAAAGGGGAGGGTACTGGATTTTACTTGTTTCCCATTTTCAAATTTATCTTCCAAATTAAACTGGAACTTCAGGTCCTGTGAACCACTATAATTTGCTAGACAGGCCCACCACAACTTATGCAGTGGCACTGTATCTTAACATTCAGTATTAATAAACAAATAAATATTAATAAAAAACATTTGAAACGTTGAAATAACTTCACACCAGTCATAAATCTCCTTTCATTAGACTCATCAGGATTATATCTGAATGAACTAGCACAATTATAAAGGTATGAATATATATTTGCTTCAGTGGTTATAGTCATCAGCACCAAATATCTCACATTAACATACTGATTTATATGGCAGAGTTTGTATAAACATATGGATCATTTTTGAAACAAAAATGCTACTCAGATGATTACTAGGAGGTTATAAAGGGCTAGGAGAGAGAGTCTTTTCAGATTTAATCTTTCACCTTGCTCAAAATAACAAATGATTAATCAAGTACCAAATATATGTTTTTCTTTACCTTCTTAGCATTTGGGAAAAGCACAGGAATGAATCTGAAGTTCATGCTTCCTTGTTGTATAAACTCAATCTGCATCTAGAATAGAACAAATTTGCCAGATTTAGCTGGAAGATTAATATTGTTTTTTCTGTACACACGTCCATACTCCTACACATATAAAGCAGTCACTACTTACTCTTCTGTTAAGTTATTTGGCCTATAGCTAGTGAACCTTCACTTCTAATTACACGAGGCACCATTTGCATGGCTATTTATACGACTTCTCTCTATTGTAGAAATAAGAGATACTGGAAGTGATTCTTCAGAGCTTTGTTGACTGTTTGCCAGTTATTCCAAATCAAATAATTTTATTTTGAAGTACATCAGTAATTTTGTCAAATACATCTAAAATTGCATAAGTTTGACTTAATAAAGACTCTTCTCCAGTTAACAATGTAGTCAAGTGGTTAATTCAGTACTTTCACATTTTGGGCCAAGTCTATATCCTTTGTAGAACACAAGCTGTGTTTTATGTCACAGAGACTTATGTTTAATGCAATGTCATTTTTTTCTGAAGTGGTGAGGACTGGAAGCTCTTAGCTTTCAAGCAGGGAGAAGGACTAGCTATGCGCTAGCACAGGGGTGCTCAACCATTTGGCCCCACAGGCCAGATGAATGATGTGGGGCCAGTCAGTGGCCTTGATCGAGCCTGGCACCAGGACTAGCCAGCAAGGCTCTGCACTGCTCCTTCTCTGCCCCATGTAGTGAGATTGGGCCCCAGGGGCCTGCTATCATCCCCTCCCACCCCCATGCACTGGGCTTGGCTCTTGGACCTGGCACCACCCCCACCCAACTCTGCATGCTTGGATCAGGCACCTGATCTAGCGTGCAGGACCCAAGACTTCCCATGAGTGTCACCACTCTCCTGCTGCCAAACTCCCAGACTCATGTGGAGTCCCATGGGCCTGATGACATGTCACCATGGGCCGAATCTGCCCTACGGGCTCTAGATTGGGCACTGTTGCAATAGCCCATTATGGGGAATCATTGGAGTTCTTTGGAGAGAACTCTGTGAGGTTTAAGGTGTAACAATGCAAGGCCTATAGGAATACAATGTGAGATACTCGGGGAGTTGACAGAAGAGGCAGAAACAATTAGCTTCATGAAAGTACACAGGTATGAGTCTTATTCACTGCCAGGCCTGGACTTAGTTTTATTGCCATAAGGAGCACTTGCCCTGTGGGAGTGGAATTACATGGCAAAAAGTGAGATGACATTAGATTAAATCCTGAGAGAGGGCTTAATGTGCTGGACTGGAAAATAAAAATTAAAAAAAAATCCAACTTTGTAAGACCACAAAACCATGGAGAAATAAGGTGCATGCAAATAAAAGGGATTATTTTTTATCTAGAACTCAGTACCTCTTAGCTCATGCTCCTGAGTAAAAGAAACTGGGTAGAAGGGAAGGTGAATGTGAACACTAAGACAGGATTATCATTAGGCAGTAAAGAGAATGAGGTATGATGGCAGAGAGGTTAAGATGTCTTGCTATAGATTTAGAAGAGTATGTGCAAGCACTGCTCTGGACTTGTGCCCAAGACTGCCCTCAGTTAACCTAGCTGATAAACAGGTGCCTGGTCATTCATGGGGCAGTCAAAGGCAGCCTGCTGCAATGCTAGCCAAAGGTTGGATAAACCTTTGAACTTTTTTTTTTTTGATCAGTGATATCAAAACCAGGAACCTGCCATTTAGAGAAATATTTGCCTTTCAAAAATAGAGGAGACAGTGCAGATTCTTCTTAAAATGGCAAACACTTATCCTTGCTTACCATCCTGTGGATGTATTTAGTATGTAAGCCATGTTCATCCCTGTCCAGCTGGGATTCAGCCCCTTCAACATCCTGTTTGTATTTTGGACTGATTGCTATGATTATCATCACCGTCTTCTGTTAGGGAATAAAGCACTTTTATGAAATTGTGAAATGCAGTATGTTTGGTAGAGGCAACTCGGAAACCTGCCAGTTTGTATTTTAAATGATCGTGATGTTCTTGGCAATTGCTCATTCATTCTGGCAAGTGAAAGACAGTGAAACTAAGACACTCCTCTCTCTTTCTTGATACCTCTATTCATACATATAACATACATAAATGTCAAGAGACTGGACAACTGTTAGTTTACCAATTTAAAGTTGAAACCTGTGAAGTAACTTTTTATTAATATACTATAAAGTACATACATTATATATTCACATAAAAATAATGTAAAACATTCCAGCCCCAAATTTTCAAAACTGCACATGGTAAAGTGTATATGGTTGGCAGGCCTGCGTGAAGCTTTGGTCCCTGATTTGATTTGATGGAGATTCAGCTCAATTTGGCAGCCAAATCTCCAAATCTAAATGGAATCAGAGGACCCTTTAATCTCTCCGAATCGAATCGGAACCCTCCTAATTGATACGGAGAGATTCAGAAAGATTCAGAGATCCGGACAGAGACACACTTTAAAGGTTTTTTTCTACATACCTCTAGGTAGCAGGGGCTCGTGAGTGCTGTGATGCTGGGGCGCATCGCAGCATTAACGAGCCGCCTGCTACCTCAGGGTATGTAGAAAAAACTTTTAAAGCTGCGTCTATGTCCAAATCGCTGATTCTCTGAATCAGCATCGAATCTTCAGATTTGGATTCGGCCAAATCAAATCAGGGACAGTGATCTGAATCAATGAATTGAATCACTGTCCCGGATTCAGGCTGAATCCAAATCTGAATCAAATAGGGCCTGCTTCACACACCCCTAATGGTTGGTTACCCAATCATGGCTGCTTACAGAAACAGACACCACTTTTGCCAGTGCAGACTATGATCACGACCTTCAGTACAGTACAAGCCCCAGTTTATGTACCACTTGAGTTCCTTTACTTGTGAGAAAATAGGCGGGTGTTTCATAAATGAATGACAAAATGGCTGCCCACACTGTATGTCTGTGATAAAGTGGGAAACTACACAGAAGCACGGAAAGCTGATGCTAGTGAATAAGTAAACAACATGGCCATGCAGTTATCAGTGCGCATCAAGAACAGCATTGTGTCATTTGTTTTTTGTGGGCTCAAGAGGCATTTATAGATGTGCTTTGGGTCTGTGGTGGGTGTGGGGTGCTTTAACTGGAGCACACAGAGCGTTACATGTATCAGTGTCCCCGTGTTGAAAAATGGTGGCGGGGGTGCTTTAACTAAAGCTTGTTGAACCATTTTTCAATGCAGGGATGACGATGCACATGATGCTGGAGTCTGCTGGAGTGCAGTAATTACCACACTCAACCAGACTCAATTAATCGAGTCTGCTGCGATGTGCTCTAATTCCAGTGTCAGAACAGCCTTGCTGCACATGTATAGGCTCCCAAGGTGTGCCACCTAGAGAAATGTACCACAGGATTGTGGCAAAAAATCATGAGAACTGTATGGCTCAATGGAAAGCAGGGAGAGAAGTTAAAAAAAAATGGTCACATGTCCGTAGCAGAGGAACCCAAGTGGGACACCCCAGCACAGCCATGATGGAAACAATGGTGCTACAGTCATCGTCGCTATGTGCACAAACAGGTGAATGAGCATTCTTCAACTACTGGTGAAAACAGGTGTAAGTGCTGGCAGTCTCCACCCCATTTTGCATGATCACCTGAATTACTGGAAAGTGTGTGTCCTTTGGGTGCAAAGCAAGTGACATATGTGCCTAAACAACAGCATGTGGAAATGTGTACCCAGCTTCTGCAATGGGTACAGGACAATGGCAAGGTATTCCTCTCATGCATTGTCACCAGGAATCAGACCTGGGTGCACTGTTATAATCCCAAGAGCAAAAGGCAGAGTATGCCTAAAAAACTCTGCACTCATCCATCATCTGGCAAGGTCTTGTTCATTCTGTTTTGGGATTGCAAAGGACTGCTCCTTTTCCATTCCATGGAGCACAGGGTCATGATCAACAGTAACACGTACTGCCATGTTCTCCAAAACAATCTGACAAGCCAGCTATTCAGACCAAATGGTGTGGAACAGTCAAGCAAGGTGTTTGTTCTTCTCTAGCACACAATATGAGCCTACATAGTGCGTGGATGACTCTCAAGACTTTGCATGCACTGAGCTGTGAAATCTTACTGCATCTGCCATACAGTCCTGATCTTGTTCCATGTAATTATCACCACTGTTTGGACCACTGAAGGAGGCTCTTTGTGGACACAAATTTGCCAGTGATGCAGACGTGAAACTTGCAATGCAGGAATGGCTGTCACAGCAACCAAAAAACCTTCTTTCAGGATGGTATCAAGAAACTTGTGATTTGGTGGGATGTCTGTCTTGCAAAGCAGGGCAACTATGTAGAGAAGTGAAGTTAGTTTCTGAAACACCCTTGTAGAATGATGTAGAGTTGTGGGGGCCAGACATTACAAGGAACCACGATCACATGCACTGGATCACCATATTATAGAACCACTGTTACATGTGCCTGACTTGCACATATATTGCCAGATGTGTAAATGCATGTTGAGAATTTGCATAGGCAAACACACATTCATGTGTCCAAGCAGTTCTGTCTTACTTGTGTGCACTTCTGAAAAGTAGGGATCTTTTTTCAGGATCTCAAAGCATGCAGCAAAAATTTCAACCTGACAGCACTCCAAATAGTAACTCAACTCCATTTTATGAATAGGAAAGTTGAGGCACAGAGAGATCAATTATCTTGACCAAGATTACATCATAAAATCAGGAGTAGATATATATGTAATAAAAGGAATGAATTAAATGCATACATTAAAATATGCACAAAATAACTGCATCAGTTTTGTCACAGGGTATCACCACTGGTTCTTGCTTAGTACAATGATTTCATGTGATTCTCAGAAGGACTGAACACTCATAGCTACCATGAGCTTCAGTGAAATTTGCAGGAGCGAAGGACCTCATAATTAATAGGAATATGATCTTTGCTTTGAATCAAGTCCTGCTTTTCAGAAAAAATAAAGCTGTCAAATTAAACCTACACTCTAACTAGCAGAGCACTGATTTCAAGCATATATTGATATGGCATATTTTATCTAGAAGAACCTCAGAGTGCTTTACAAATGTACTGATATGCAAATTATATGAGAAGTAGGGTGACTACATTTGCTGCTGTAATGCAGCTCCTCTTGGGAGGAAACACAGTAATTGCTTAACCATACATAGAAATATTACACAGTTTTGAAAGAAACAATTTGTTCAACTGAAATTTCAGCCAGAATTTAACTACCAAGGTTTGAGTTTGGCCAGGATGTCAGGATTAACACCTCATCTTGTAGAGAGAGAGCGCTTTGGAATGTTTAATAAATAAAAGTGATTGAGACCTTGGGTTTACATTTCTATTACATGCCTCTAAGCTGGTGGAAGAGTAGGGGGAAAGAATGTATTTTTTTCTGGTCCCTCCTTGATAGTATCAAATTAAAGATGTTCCTTGGATCCTTTCTGGGGGAAATACCCATGCAAGATTAAATTGCCTTTACGTACGTCACCTAGGTAGCGTTCCATCCATTTAATGATGTCGATACCTCGTACTGTGTCCTCAAATATATCAATCTGTAAGAGAACAGGAGTTTGGGGTTATACTTCATCTCTAACTGTTCCCCATTTGCTGGCTTCAAGAATGTTCTTGAATGCCTGGCCTGTTCCTCAGCTCCTTTAATTTATGCCTTTTACTTTAAAACCAAAATAAAACAGACATATAACTCCTGTCATGGTGGGCAACTGCTACAGACCTCAAACCAGGAGGAAAGGGTGGATGAGGTCTTTTTTAAACGACTAACAGAAGCTTCCAAGTTACAGAACCCGATTTTCATGGGGGACTCTAATTTTTGGGACATCTGCTGAGAAGAAAACTCAGCAATGCACAAACAATCCAGCAAATTACTGGAGTGGGTTGGGGATAACTTTTGTGATACAAATAGTAGACAGACCACTGGGCTCATCTACACTTTAATGTGCAGTAACCTATTTTACTGCTCCTTAAAGTGTTATGTAAAAAACTGATTACACAGAAGTGCAGTAAAATAGGTTACTGCGCATTAAGCATCACTTAAAATGTGTGCATTTATTACCTCACATTAAGGCTGCCTAATGCACATTTCTTTAGTACCTCATATTGGAGGTACTAAATTTAATACACATTTAAAAAGTGCCTTAATGCAGGTATAGACATTCCCACTGATGGGGAAACACTTCTTGGCTTGCTGCATCCAAACAAGGAGGAACTGGTTGAGAATGTGAAGGTGGAAGGTAACTTGAGTGCTTGGGTGACAGTGCGTGTGTCTACAAGTGCCTATATTAATGCGCATTAAAGCATCACAGAAAAACCAGGCACTTTTGCTAATGTGTATTAAAATAGGCTAATGCACCTTTTTCTAGTACCTCACAATGGGGTTACCAAATTTAGTGTGCATTACCAAAAGCAAATTAATGAATGTGTAGACACACCCAGTGACAATGAAATGATAGCGTTCAAGACCCTAAAGGGAGGAAGGAAAGAGAACAGCAGGATAAAGACACTGGACTTCAGAAAAGCAAGCATTAACAAATTCAGGGAACTGGTAGGCAGGATCTCTTGCGAGGCAGGTCTAAAACGGTACCAGGAAAGCTGGCTGTACTTTAAGGAGGGCCTTTTAAGGGCACAAGAGCAAGCTATCCTGAGTGATAAGACAGAAGAATGGGAAGACAGTAATCTTTTTAATGAGTTGAAACTCAAAAAGGAATCTTATAAAAAGTGAAAACTTGGCCATAGTATTAGGGAAGAGTAGAAGGAGCATGCAGGAAAAAGATTAGGAAAGCCAAGGCACAATTGGAGATTCAACTGGCAAGGGACATAAAAGGCGATCAAGAGAGTTTCTACAAGTATGTCAAAAGTAATAGGAAAATCATAAGTCCCTTACAGAATGTAGGGAGTTATATAGTTATGCATCAATGTAGTTACAGATGATGCAGAAAAAGCTGGAATATTTAATGCCTTTTTACTTTAGTCTTCATAAACAGGGACAACTACCAGATGAGTTGCAGTTGGTGGCAGAGATAGACAAGGAAACAAATAGAACAAAGTAGCAGAAGAACAGGTTAGGGGTTATTTAGAGAAGCTAGATGCTTTCAGTAGGGCCAGATGGGATGCACCCTCAGGTACTGAAGGAATTGGCTGATTTAATTTCAGAGCCATGATCTCTTTGAGAACTCATGGAGGTTGGGATAGGTATTACATGTAGCACTAGACCAGTGTTTCTCAACCCGTGACTCGTGACCCAAAAGTGGGTTGCAAGAATATATGAAAGGGTCATGAACAAACTTTAAAAATGTGGGAACCCATGGCTTTTCACTTGCAGGCTGGCAGAGTTCCAGCCTGCAAGGGGCTGCTTGGGACTCCCTATGTCTCCCCCTCCCCCCCCACACACCACACACCTACCTCCTGCCCCACAAACTGGGGTTCTGGGGGCAGCAGGTCAGGATCTAGGAGCACTGGGTTGGGACTGGTCATCAATGTTTACAAATGGATCCTAGTACAAAAAAGTTTGAGAACCTCTGCACTAGACAATGGAGAAGTTCCTCTTTGAAAGTACTAGGTTTTTTATAGCACTTTCCACATCTTTGTAGCACTACAAACAGCTTAAATGACTGATGCTTGCTTTTTGTAGCTTTACAAGGGCATATTTAGTGTTAATGTAACATCTTTCTATGGCCTTAGTATTTTTAGCAAAGAAGCCATAGTTTGGGTAGAATGGACATGAAAACTGAACTTTTCCCCCCATTTTGGTCCAAAACAAGGAAACAGCACATTGATGGATCAGTGTAAGAAAGCTCACACTGATGTCAGGGTTGTACCTGGGGTCCATAAATAGAAATCTCCAGAGCTCTCATTCAAGTACCTTTCAAAAGTTCAAAACTCACTTAAAAATAAATCACAGTCAAATGATGATGTGCATAATTTAAACTAAACATTACAGCCAAAATCCAAGTTAGCTTTCTTTCCTTTTCTCTTATCTACAAAATGTCATGATATGCAGAAAAAATATTTAATACATTCTATATGCTCTATTTAAAAAGTCTCCCTCATTTCTCCCTTGACTGAAAACCATTCTCTATAAAAAGAGTACTCACTGCAGTTTGAAATCCATTTCCAAGCAGAAAGTTCACAAATTTCATGACCTCCATAGCTGTATCCATGGAATAGGTTATAAAAACTTTACCTAAGAGAGACATTCATATAAATTTGTAGTGAGTCAAAAAAATTCAAAGAGGTGGAGACAATTTCATAACTTGGCTTGCTTAAGCACCTGTTTGGATTGTGTACAAAATGAATCAGAGCCAGCGTGGTGACTGTACTCTGCACTTCTGTGTAGAAATCCTAGTCCAGATTTAATATCCTATCTCTTTGCTTCTGAGGTGCCCAAGAGTTAGGACTTGACTGGAGAAGTGCAGAGGGGTCATGCACTGTACCCTTATAACCAGTTTAAGAATCCAAGAATCATAAAATTGAAGACTGGAAGAGACCAATTGGATCATCCTTGAATAGACCATTTTAATTCCACTATTGCCTAACACAAGCCATAACATTTTACCCAGTAATTTCTGCATCAAGCTCATAACGAGTGATTAAGTTAGAGCACAACCAAGAGCAACAATGACAGTGGAACTAAGAGAGAGGCATGTGATGACTGGTAACATGGGATTTTGAACTAGGAATACAAGACAAAATAGTGGAAACTAAGATTCTGGTAGAGATGTTGGATCTCTGCTGATCAACACCAGTTAAAACAACTTTGCCTTTTCAAATCCTAAACCTTCTCAGACAATGACAATATAACATTAATTTAAAACCATTTGTAATGCTTCCCACTGTCCATCTGGTTCTGCATTGAAGTGGGTGCACCACCTCAGTATGACAGTGGGTAGGCATAGTCAGCTGCTGTGACGCTTTGATTAGGAAAGATGTTAGATTTGTCCCTGGACAAGTTGTGTTTGTCTCAAAACAGAAATGTCCCAGGATTGGTGTGTACACACAACACTCTTCTAATGAGGGTTTAGTGAGTGGCTGAATGTACTGCTGCTTTTCTGCCATTGATTCAATGATGCAATCCTGAGATAACCACTCAGACGCACTTTGTGATGTTCTGAGATAAACTATCCAGATGACACAGTGCTCCCAGCCTACAGCTGGACTAAGCTTAGGTCTCATTGTCAGGCCTCAGACACACACACATTCATACCGCCCTCCTCTCACTAGGGCCTCACACACTCCACCCTCTCTCACATGGTCTCGTTTCTCGCATCGACAACTTATACTGCCTTGCTCCCTCTTGGAGCAGGCCCCTTAGGCCATAGGCTTTACCTAGTTCATACCTTGGGTGGCAGATGTACCGTCTTTTGGGTCTTTCCCATGACCCTCACCGGGGTAGTGGCCAGCCAATTACCTAACCGGGTCTAAGCTTGCTCTGGCCCCTTCCAGGGGCAACTCTATACATACAAACATACCGGGCACTCAGCCCTCTGGTTTTCCTTCCCCCACACTGGGGCTCCTCATCTCCGCCCCCTTTCTGGGGCCACCTCTCACCAGAGCGTTCTTATCCCACACCACGACTGGTGCTCCGGGGTCTCACGGGGACAATCACTCCCACCCTGGAGCAGCATGTCATTGTGCTCCACTATAGGTCTTGCTTTCAACCCACACGTGGCCACCCAGCAGTGGAGGACTTACCGGGGTCAAGACTTGCCCCTATCTCTCAGACTGAGCCCTTTACTCAGCCTCTGGCCCAAGCTACAACCTCAGGTGTCCAGAGACATGCCCTAGGCCTACTCCCCTCACTTGGGGCTCCACACCGCCCCCTCACTCAGGGCCATGGGGCTTCCCTCCCTGGTGGGCTCAGGTGACCGTAACCATGCCTGGCCCCAACTACCTTTCCTCAGGGTCCTACACCCCACAGGGCTCAGGTGGCCTCAGCCATGCCTGGCGCCACTACCTCCAATGTTATGTGACCCTCTGTGGTGGTGACATGCCCCCACAGGCTCTAAAGCAGGAGAGGGTAAACACCGGGGGGCCCAAAACCAGAAACAGACCCCCCGAGGGGGGAACTTACCTCTGTCCGGTCCGGCAGTGCAGGAGCCGGCAGCCACGGCTGTGGCCACACGAGCTGGAGTTACGCCGGCTGTTTAAGCAGCTGTTCCCCATGCAGGGAACAGCTGGACCAACCGCGACAGCCAGCATGGCCGCCGTGGGGAAGTTTAAAAGCCCAGATGGAACCCACGGGGAGGAGGAGGAGCCAGAGGGAGAGTGAGCTGGCAGGCAGCACGCATGGCGTGATGAGGCTCTCACCGGGAAAAAGCATAGCACAGCTGGTGCAGCACCAGCAAGTGGCGCAGGGGAGAACTTTGAGCCCCCGCTGGAGACAGAACAGGGGAAGCAATGCAGCATCCTGCAGGAGCCTGACCAGGAGAGGCAAGCACCCCCTCTGGAAGAAGTAGAGCAGGGGAGGGGTTTTAAACCCCCTGTAGATAGCTGGGGAAGAGGAGGCAGCTCCACATCCCGCTCCTCTCCAGAAGAATATTTTTTTGAAGACTACAGAAGGAAAGGAAAAAGGAGGAAAGGAGGAAAGTCCCAGGGATAGGGATAAAGGGCCTGTGCATCAAGACCTGAGGGACACGAGCCAGCGGAACCATTCAGCCGAGCGCTCTTCCCTTTCCCCGAAGCAGACCGCGGGCAAGCCCACCAGACCCAGGCCAACGTTGGACCATCACATAACCAGCTGGCGAGTGGATGGGGTGTATGGGGAGGTGGAGCCCCGTGGAACACCGCACCAAGCAACTGTGAGTACAGCCGTTGTTGGGAAGCCCCTCTGGGAAGATCTTCACTGAACCCCTCTCTTGATAGTTAATAGCAAAGTCATGGCAGGGGGGTTGAGGGGGGGGGCTACACTACCCGCCAGCCGTATCACCCATAAGGCCCCTGACATCACACCCACCCAAAGGTGGGGGCTAGGGTTAAGGCACCCGTACCTGCCTTTCACCAGGGTGATACCTGGCTTGGCATTTTCTGGAGGCTCCCGTGCCATTGAGAGCCCCACCAGGCCACCCACTCCTGGCAGGGTGCAGTTTTAGGTCATGCCCAGGACCAGGAGCCTCCAAGTCACCCCTACAGCTCCTCCCTTACCTCCAGGATAATACATCAAGCCTTGCAGCCAGGCAATATTGCTGCCTGCCTGCCAGAAGTGAACTACCCTGTTTATATGGGTGGCCAGAGATCTAAAATGGCCACCACAATCAAGCACCTGCCAGCTGCTTGGCTCCACTCTTGAAGTGGCGGGCACTATCAGTGCACTCAATGCACTCAAACAAGCTCTGTCCGCCACAGCATGTTTGAGTGCATCGCTGTGTGGCATGGCAAGTTTGCAGTGTACACACAGTCTGAGCTGCAGTGCCTCCTGCCTCACAGAAGCATGTAGTATAGCAAGAAATCATCTGCTCCAAGAAAACAATCTAAAAAGTGGTTATTTTCTTTAATAAAAAAACCCACCAAAATGATAAACAATTAATGAGAATTATGTTAATTTTTTTCAGGATCCAAGGGAATAATTTGCTACAGTACACACACATGTATGGATGACTTGATGATGTTTAGTATTTTGTTTCTTTGTTTTCTTTATTTCTTTACGCGGTTTACATTTTTATGCTAACTAAAGCTTTTCATGCTATCTAAAACTGATAGGCTGCTTTTGGCGAAAAAAGCCTGACAGAACTAATTTACTAATAACTTACGCAGCTCTTCTGGTAAATTGCTTGTTCTCAGAGTTCCCTTGGCTGCAGGGTTACTAGGAGGTCTTGGGACAGCAGCAGGGGGTGGAAAATTGATCATTTGATCTGCACAGTGTGGAGGACACAGGCATTCCTCCATTGGGGCGTATGCATTTGGTGGCGGCCCTCCATTAGGTAGCTGGTTGTAGAACTGGTTTCTAGAAAGAAAAGTAGATGGAGATTTCTTTATACAAGGTAAAATTCTACCCTTTTAAAGAGAGGAACAAAAATTATTCCTCTTAACAGTGTGTGGTAATGTAATTATTATTACTATTATCATCACGACCACCACCACCACCACCATCTAAATAGGGTTGACTTTTTAGAGATTTTGAAGACCTGTTGCTGGCTCAGCTGTTCTGGTGCCTTTTGACATGTGTTACCACTGATGCTTCCTGGCTGGAAGTCTACCACACTGGTACAGTTTACTGAAGAGAAGGCACTGACCTCAGTAGCCGAATGCTAGAGAAAGCAGTTCTCAGATATGAAAGCTAAGAAAATAAAATCTTTTTTGAGCAAGAAAGTGTAATCTTTCCAAATGATGCTGGTCAGCAGGTTAGGTATGTGACCCTCAAAGTAACACTTGTATAGTCTGCTGTCATCATCTAGAGCAGTGGCTCTTAACCTTCTTAAATTTGATGCACCCCTCGTTAAATCGGAGGTACGCCTTGGAAAATGCTAGATCTTTGTTTCCATTTATTTTTTGACAATGGAAAAATAATGGAGCAGTTTTTCTGTTGCAGAGGACACCGAAAGACCACAACAGGGCAAACTGTTTTTAGCACTATGGGTGACTATTTGGAATATATGTCTGGGCTCATTTTGTGAATTATATTTGCACACCTAACAGTGCTAACTTTCTATAGCACTCTGCAGCGCCCCTAAAAGGATCTCCAGGCAAGAATCAGGTTAAGAATCAGTGCTTGCTGTGCGAACTGGCAGGGCAGGGCTGAAAGTACCTTGCAAGTGTCACCTCTCAAGAAAAGCAAAGATTTTTTTGAGTGATATCTTTTCTTGGCCGAACTGCATGGTCGGCATAGACTTAAACAAGCTTTCAGGTACCCTTCCTCAGGTCTCTGGGAAAGAAGCAGATATAACAAAAGTCTCTCCCAACCATGCCGTTGGTCCAATAAAAAGCATCCCTCACAGAACTTCTTACCTCTTGCATATTTCCTGGACCATTCTGGCTACATTATTTCAACACTACCTCCCTCTCTTCACTAACCCTATTGTCAGGTTCAGGAAGAGGTAAGAAAAACTAGGGTTACATCCTATTTCCTTTTATGTGCCTAGCTAGCATGTGCATAGCTGCAGAATTGTAGTTTGTGGCACTTATGCATATCCTGCTTATGTACCTGCCAGAAGTAAAGCAGTGGAGGCAGTGGTAGAGGAAGAGGAGGAGCATTAGGTCGATACCTAGTGGTTCGGGCACTTGCCCAGAGAGCAAGAGATTCAAGGTTCAGGATCCCCTTCAGTCAGAGAAGACCTGAACCTGCATTTCCTGCTTCCTAGCAAAATGTTGCCAACCACTCCGGTGTTTAGACCTCTCTCTAGTCCCCCCCACCTTCCCTCCTTGAATCTGACCTGCAGGGCAAGCAAGAGAGGGAGATATATGAGGTTACATTAGAAGTGAACAAAGCAGAGGGTGCATAGCTTAGTGAGATGAATGTTCCTTGGAAAAGTGGAAACCCTGAGTTCTAACCTGGGTTCCTGTTCCCAGTAAGGAGAAACCTTCCCACGATTGTATATACATTTTATCCAATGACTATTAAATACAAGGCACAGGGCCAGCTTCTAAAGGAGGGCTGGAGAGGGTCCCGGTCAATACATCCCCTGTCGCTTGGTGGTTAGGGTGCTTTCTGAGAAGCAGGAGACAGGTTCAAACCCTCTCTGTCTAAGGAGGCCTATAACTTAGGTCTTGCCAGTATGCAGCTGTGTATGTGACACACAGGCACAGAATGTGAAATGGGATTTAACCCCTATTCTTCTCTTTTTCAAATACTTTTCCCTATCTACCACAATATTTAGTCAAACAAACCTTCTCTTTCTCTCTCTCATTTTCTTCCTACTTACCTCCAGTGAGTATTGACAATCTGGCCACAAGATATTTTTTTCTCCTCACATTTGGTGGATTCTGTTAAAGCTAAAAAGTTACTAAACACCCTTACAGGCAAATACTATTGATGAGCAACTTGGCATATGAAGAGTGTTGTATTTGTTCAAGGGCATTCCAAAACAAATAACTCCAATCACAAGTGTGAGTAAAAGTGCTGCTAGGCTGGCAAGTACGGAATATATTGTGAACAAAAAAGAAAGATTTCATTCATCACCATCAGCAGATTCAACAAAAAAAAAATGATTTAGATTCTCATGTGTACATGTAACAGATACACATCTCACAAGTAGCACCAGCAGTTTGCCACAGGCCAGGTACCATGATATTTTAGATTTCTTGCAAAAGAGGAGCAAAGGAAAGTGAGACATACATCCACAAAAGAAACAAGGATATGTTTTTCACAGCTAATTATAAAGCTACCAGAATTTCTGTAGTATAAAATATATAAAATCCATTATATTATTAAATGATAATTCATTTTTCATTTGATTAAAGAAATAAGTGAAGGGCACCAGAAATTCACTGTTGTTTCCTCTGTCAAACTGAAACTCAAATGAAACCTCTAAGTGCTGCAGCTACTGCTCGACCACAATCTTGGTCTGCTTGTGTTATTTCTTAATTTAATCACAGGAAGAGAATGCTGAGTAGCAGTCTAGCACTCAGCCAGAACTGTATGCTGTTACTGTTCCTATAATGAACCCAATTTTGTCCTGTGGTCATGTCACCCACAAACATTTTCAGAACATGGATACCTAGAAGTCAGGTGTATTCACTCATGCTTCAGTACCAAGATAAGTACCTGCAACTTTCATTCTAGTTAACTTTGGGCAACCAGGATGGAAAAAAAAAATCTCTCCCTAATGTGCTGCATCTGTTAAATGAGAACAACACGGATTACAAAACAAGGGGGTGTGAGGCCTAATGAATAAATTGCTGTGAAGCCTTAAGAGATCCTGAGATGAAAACAGCTGGATGTACAATATTCTACTATTGCATGAGAAATGCTGGACCATTCATTTAGGCTAGGGACAGACATTACACATAAACCAGTTTAAGTGATCAGAAACTGGTGTAAACCTGTAACAGAACAGATGTTCAATGTACATAAACCAGTCTGAAAATGGCTGAAACTGGTTTGAGATAAAGCTGGTTGAATGTAGCATCAGACTTAACTGATTTGGGTCAAACCAGTTTATGCAATGTTTGCCTCAGACCCCTTGCTAGTTTAAGCTAAATCAGAGTCCCCCAGCATCCCAGCAAGCTCTTGGGGCTGGGCGGAGCTCTCTGCTCCACAGCAGGGCTGGCCCTTCCCCTCTGCTCCCTAGCCAGAGCTCTGGCAGAGACTTGCAGGCACAGTAGGGTCTGTTGGCTTCCCCATCTCCCCCTCACCACTTGCTGCTTAAGCAGAGATCCCTTTCTCCCTTCTGCCACAGCATGAACCATAGCCAGCATGTGGTATGCTAGCTAATGTTGTGTTAGGCCTCCATCAGAGACTGCAGACACAGCAGGGTCTGCCTGGCTTCCCCCTGCCCAACCACACCCTCACTGCTCAAGCAGGAATTTCTCCTCCCTCTCATCTCCCACAATATGGACCCCAGCCCCACGGACCCTAGGCGTGTGGTATGCTAGCTAATGTTGAGAGGTGTCTCTGTGTGTCTCTCTCTCCATTTTCACCTGGGGCAGGCAGACAGAACAGTGACTGCTTAGGGCTGTTTGGAGCTAATCAACAGGTCATCCGGTAAGCTGTTTAAGAAGTCTGAAGTAATGGGGAGAGGCCATTGTCTTGCTAATTAAATGATAAAGACTGTTATCACTATCAGCCCCCAGCTGGCTTGCTTGCCTGTCAGTTTGCTGCAGACAGTATGACAAAGCAGGGAGGGAGATTGAAAAGCTCTGTATCGTCAACAGATGCATACACTGAACCCCACTTCCCCCACCTTGTTTCAGAGTGCTAGCTCAGGGCTGGGGGCAGGCAACACTTCCGCCCCATGAGCAGCCAGTGGGGAAAAGCCTGGGACCATGAAGGCAGACCTCCCTAATGAGAGTCCTGCCAGAGCCTGGCCACTCCCCCCTCAGATCAGCTCCCTGCAGAAGGGAAGGGAGGGTTGCTCTAGTGCCCCCCAGCTTCTAGCCTGAGCCAATGCAGACATGTGCCTGAATTTCCTCAGTCCAGAGAGAATGTATGTCTGGTTTCAAACCAGTTCAGCCTAGCCAGGTTAGACTAACCTGCAAAGAGTGAATCAATTCAGGCTTAGGCTTTTTGAATATCTGTCTCTGGCCTTAGACCCACATCAGAAATGCTCAAGATTTCCCCTATTTTTCTCTGAGCTGAATATGAAATAATTTGTTGTGAATCACTTAATAATTCAAGGTTATTTGACTTCATAAAACTGAAGTCTAAAGAATGTATCCTAACTGACCTTTGTTTGTGAATTGGGTAAGGGAATGGTGTGGAATCTCTAAGGTTTCCTTAATATATTTTCAACTCTTCTCCCTTTTAACCTTCAAGTATTTATGGCTGTTAAAGTGCACACTCCAGAACGGAGCAGATACTGTAACAACATTTCAGATAGCTGGCTTTGAAGTTCTGGTATCACCTTGAGAATCTACATTCTGCTGATATCAGTGGTTCCACTGCATGTTAGATAGCACCTAAACAAACACATCTCTAAACTAGCTTCCTCACATACACCTCAGAAGTGCTACATGGCAGGCTTCAGAACAAATGAAAAAACCTCAATAGCACTACTACAGAGTTTCCAATGTTTGAGTCTCATCTCTCCAAGCATACTTACAGGAATTGCGGGTGTACAGAAGAAGAGCATTCTCTCTGTGCTACTCTTTCTCCATTGCACTTAGGAAGAACGTGAGGATTAGAATAATGAGGGATTACTTGCTGGGCTGGGCGGGTGACTCTCAGGCAAGGTCCAGGAACAGGAGGCACGGGCTGAGATGCATGGTAAGGAGCTCTTCCATCTAAGAGATTAAGAAAACAAAGGCAGAAACTCTCATTTAATCAGTTCAGTTTTGCTCACATTCAGCTATTTATCCTTCAAACATATCCTGCTTTGTATCTAGGAAAGTTCTAGCAGCTTGGGGTTTGCATAGTCTGATCAGGAGCAGGTTTCAGGAAATTTTTACCAAACAAAATTCTGTAAAGAAAACATAGTTCTGTAAAGAGGCATTCTCCCCTTTTACAAACAATATGGTTCAGCTTTCCACAGTAGGTTGAAATGTTGGGAAGATTGATGGTTAAATAGTGAGAGCTGGTCTGCTTCCAGATTTAACATGCCTGATTTTTTTTTGTTTTGTTTTTGGCTATAACTTGATAAAATGAATCATCTCAACAATCTCATGAAAGCAGAAGAAAAATCCTGGAACAAATCAGTTTGCAACACTAAGGCTAAACAGACTGAAATTATTGTAAATGAAAAGTGAAAAATTCTCTCCTGTTTTGTTGCTTCATTCTGAAAACATTTTATATCAAACTGAATTTTATAAGGCATTACTGTTAGATTCTTGTATTACCTGAGCAGTTGCAGAGGAATCTGACATATCAATCTTTGCTGAAATAACTTCTTTGCAAAATGCTATTGTCTTCACATAACAGTGCTGTTTGGTAACTAAAATAAATCATATTCCATCTATTAGGCCAGATCATATTCCATCTATTAGGCACCTATGTGTGATCCTATTCTACCAGGCTTCAGTCCTTGAAAAACAGTAGCATGCCTAGTTTTGTGACACATCAGGCACATCTATATGCTCATTAATGAGCTGTAACTACAGCGCATTAAGTTTAGTATCTGTAATATCAGGTACTAACTCAATGCACCATAATTAGTGCTACTGCACATTAGCACAAGTGAACAGTTTTTTTAGTGATGCTTAATGCTCATTGGACTAAGTCTACTGAATATTAGCATAAACTAATGCTTTTTTTGTGATGCTTAATGCTCATTGGACTAATCTACTGCACATTAGTATAGTAGCATGGTTTTTGTCATGCTAATGCACAGTAGATTTAGTCCAATGGGCATTAAGCATCTCATATAGACACATGCAGCAGGTGTGTCTAGATGATATGTTAATTGCACAGTAGCCTAATTCAACTGCACAGTAGCGTGCAGGACAAAGCCCGTGCTATATGCTACTGTGCAGTTAGTGTCACTAAGAAGCCACGCACCAGCGCTATTGTGTAGTAGTGCCATTTACTGCACATTGATTTAGTACTTGGTTATACAAATACTAAACTTAATGCACAGTAATTACGATGCATTAATGAATATGTAGACATACCCACTGTCAACGTAGCCTTAAGGCACCCAGGACCACAGCACTTTACGCCGGGTCAGAGTAGCCCTGGGCTGGCAGAGGGCCCAGGGATTCAGCACCAGACTCCAGGTGGTGGCATTGGGTAATGGAGGTGCTGGCTGGGGTATGAGGGTGCTACAGTGCGGGGCTAGGCAGCAGGCAGCCCCCTGTACTTTAGCACCCTTGTGCCCCAGGTAGCCCTTGTCACCATCTACATGTGTGTTTCAGCAGAGTAAATTTCTCCACTGTAGGATAGTACTGTCCCCAACAGTATTATCCTATGGTGGAGTTAATTAATTTACTGTGCCCTAATACCAGAGCATGTGTAGACTCTGATGCTTTACTGCAGAGCTAATTAGTCAGCTCCATAGTTAAGTGCACCCAGTAGGAGATTTGTTTAAAAACAGTTGAAACTCTAAATGTAGAGTGTGCATCTTTTCACAAAGAAAGAAGAGTACTAAATGTTTTAAGTCCATTTTTATTTACATGTGTTTAATTTAGAACAATCACAGTTTCAAAGCTACAAAGTTCAACAAATTCCAGTTTTAAGACAAATTAAATAACTGGTGCTCTTATTTTATTATGATAAATAAAGTAGCTTTTTACCACTGCCAAATGTTAACACACAAAATAAAACAGACTACAAATACGTTTAAAAATATTGTTTACAATGCCACCAATTCCAAATATTAAAAAAACTATGATCCTGGAGCCCGAAAAAGATAAAATTCAAAGTATGCCCTGTGTGTTCTGTTACTTTGCCTTTGATTTTTTTTAACTTGTAAGTGTATTAGAGTCACTTTTCATGTTTCTTTCTGCCACCATGAGGATTAGACAGTTCAAAAAATAATAGTGGTTATTTTACATAATCACATGACTCCAGGAGCTAGGGCTTAGAAGAAAAATACCAAATGATAAAAATGTGACAGTTGGCAATAGTTTATCCATGGATATTTGAGTAGGGGAATGTTCCCTTATGTTTTAGCTGGGTAGCAGTTGGGTAGGAGAATGAAATAAAAGTGAACATGTTTTTCATGGTGTTGCTTGTGCTAGTACTAGAGAACTGACAGTGCTGTGGAGGATTCAGGATAGTTTAGAGGATTACAAGACAACACAGTCTCACCTCTTTCAAATGTATAGCCCTGATGATATAGTATTTTAATAAGTGTAAACATTGTTTATCAAAAACACATTGCAATCAAGTATCCATGGTTTCAGACATCAAGAGCACCCACATTATGAATATCTAAAGTAACTGGCCTTGAGCAAAAATAGCTTTATTGAGAGGATTTCTTTGACATCAAAAGTGCTTTTACTGTTCTACTGAATGGCAGATAGCAGGTGCCCATGGCTAGATTACAGCCTGCAAACACAATGCCCTATATTGTTATTGTCTGCAAAAGGCATATTGGAATGCATTAAGTGCAAAGCAGTATTGTGGGCTGTTCCTGCCCAATAATTATTTGAAATTTAAAAAGCTGTAAGTAAATTGTAACAGTAATTCGAGATTCAGAACTCCAGTTAGCAACTTTGTGGTATTTACCAAATACAGTTCAGTCATTTTATTTTATTTTGTTGTCTTTTCAATATGGTTGAAACATTGCTGATTTCTCCAAGGGAATCCTTCATGTTTTAAAACGGATCCCTTACTGCATACTGCTACACAGAATGAGCATGTTGAAGAGAGAAGCAGTAAGGTGTTCTGATAAATCTAGCTCTTTTTCCAGAAAATTAAACCCTGTGCTGAAGTAAGGCTTGTACAAGCTGAGGAGCAGACTGTGTTGTCTTCGGTGCTGAAGTTCCCCACAGCTGGCCTTGCTGATGGAAGTAGAGATCACCCACTGAAATTAACAGGTTTGAAACAAATCCAAGAGGGACTATTTTTTAACACTGGGGCTGCGTCTACACATACACTTAACTACAGAGTAGACTAATTAGCTATGGAGTAAAGTGTCACCACTTACACATGTGACAGTATTAGGTCTCAGTAAACTAATCACCACTGCAGTAAGATAGTGCTGCTGGGGGCAGCACTATCTTATACCGGGGTAATTTAATGTGATTACATGCACATGTAGACACTGACCGTGGGCATAAATTGCACTTGGTCAGCCCAGCCAGATGGCGAGAGTTCTACTTGTCTCCTAGCCACACAGCTCTGCACTTTCAGCACCGTTGTGCCCCAGCCAGCCCCAATGCTGCCTGACACCACCCAGAGACCAAGGCTGAGCTGCTCTGGTGTAAACTGCTACGCCCCAGCTCAAATGCTGCTGTCCTGGGCACAAGTGTATGTGCTGTGCCCAGGAGTAGTTTACTCTGCCTCAAAATGCTCCTGAGTTTGCTGCTTTGAATTAATTGTACATGTAGATGCACCCAGAAAGTAGTTAACTTGTTAACACAGTGGCTCAGGCACCTGTGGTGGTGAACACCACTTCTTGCCCCACCACTGGAGATTGAGCTGGATCTGGCCTGTGAGGAGTCACGTGATCTAGATCTGCCCTGGGAGGATTGGGGGGCACAAATGAGTTTGACCCTCATGATCTAAAGCATTTACTACTTGCTGTTGGAGACAGGATATAGGGCTAGATGAATCACTGGCCTGACCCAAAACGGCACTTTTTATGTTCTTACTATTACAAAGGGTCAAATTTAGAGGCAATACTGAGTCTCGTGCAAGTTAGATTCCCTTGGACCTACTGTATTTACTAAAATAAAGAACTCCGATTTAAGATGACCCCCCCCCCCCCATGATTAGATTCCATATATAGAAAATTTATAAATTTGTTACAATTTTGCAGTTATAGAATCTAATTATTGGAGGTATACTTTGAATTTTCCCCCCTCCCACTGCTATCACAGGGAAAATAAATCTGGGGGGTCAGGTAGCCCCTTTGCTCTCTGCTTCCCCCCAACTTTTTCCCCTGGGAGCTCCATCTCTTTCTCTTTACTATCAGACCCTGCTGTTTCTGAGCACATGGAAATTTGAGCAAATTTGAAAACAATAACCTTGAAATTAAATATGGCTGTAAAAATTTGCATTTAGTGCCTATGTACTTAATTTATCCAGAATTCATAGATTCATAGCTGCTAGGGTCAGAAGGGACCTCAACAGATCATCAAGTCCGACCCCCTGCCTGGGCAGGAAAATGTGCTGGGGTCAGATAACCCCAGACAGATGCCTATCCAGCCTTCTCATAAAGCCCCACAAGGGAGGGGAGAGCACTACCACCCTTAGAAGCCCATTCCAAATTCTGGCCACTCTTACCGTGAAGTTTTTCCTGATGTCTAGTCTAAATCTGCTCTCTGTCAGTTTATGACCATTGTTCCTTGTTACTCCAAGAGGTGCGCTCGCGAACAGAGCACCTCCGATTCCTTGCTGCGCCCCCCTAATTAATTTGTAGGGGGCCACAAGATCACCTCTCAGCCTTCTCTTGCGGAGGCTGAAGAGATCCAGGTTCCCTTAGTCTCTCCTCATAGGGCTTGGCTTGCAAACCCTTGACCATACCAGTGGCCCTTCTCTGGACCCTCTCGAGGTCATCCATATCCTTCTTAAAGTATGGCACCCAAAACTGGATGCAGTACTCCAACTGCAGTCTGACCAATGCCACATAGAGGAGAAGTATCACCTCCTTGGTTCTATTTGTTATGCATCTGCTGATGCA